GGTAAAACAGGTTGTAAGCTGGGAGACAAGGAAAGGGGACCTTAAGCCTAGCAGCCAACTGGGAGAGGCATTAAATACACACTGGCTCACAGATGGGAGCTTGGATGAAAGAGCCCAAGCTGGAGACTACTAGAGCTGTATCCTAGGGTAAAGGCTCTCAAGTCCAGGCCTTGGGAGAGTGGGCATGGTGGCTTAGATTCTAGCAGGAGTTAAAATGGACAAATCAGCTTCAGAGGGGATAGCAGGATTGGTCCCCTATGGTGACAGATGCAGATAGATCAAGTATCTGTCCATTTGGGAATGAGAGGTAGAGTACTTGACTGGTAGACTGAGATCTGTAGGGAGGGCAGGAGCTTATTGACCTGAGTGCTAAAGGTAAGTGCTCACACTGGGCAGAAGTCTTGGGGTTGCCTGGGTAGTTTATGTACCACAGGGAATGGTGAGGATCTCATGGTGACACTAGTGTGTAAGGTTGTGATGCTTTCCACACAAAACCAAAATGTGGATCTAGAGAAACAGCTTGGATTCTTTCAGGCCAGGATAGCTAAAGAAAAAGGGGACAGAGTTGAGAATATTGACAAGAAAAAGTCTGATATGATGGCCTCTGAAATCCACGTTCTAAAGGTAGTTGTTCATTATGTTGTAGGGATAGAAAGTTCCTAGAACACATGCGATATCAATGTCCCTTCATCCTCAGACTGGTTAGAACCTTCTGAAATCAGGGGCATCAGAGTGTACTCGGTTTGGCTTTCTTTCAGACTCTGGGTCTGTCTGAGTTGGGAATCTCACTTTGTAGACTCAATCTCCCAAGAACTGTGCCACCACCATGCCTGGCTAAAGTCTGCTTGTTTTAGTTTCTGGTCAGTTAGGCATGGTCCTGTCTCTGAGCTCTGCCACTGAAATAAAAGCAAATATGGTCTGTGGGAACTCTAGGAATGATACTTAAGGGGAAACCATCAGTGAAAGTATGTTGTCTTTTTTTCTGTATTCCTCCTCCTGTCTGCAACACACTGGTAGAGAGAGCTGTAGATAGTAGAGCAGAAAGGAGGTGGAAACCTGAGTCTCAGCAGACTGTTAGATCTGTTCAGCTGTTCTGGACTTGTCTTTCCTTCAGGCTTGGCCATGGGTTACCTAGATCTACTCGGCCACTTCTAGCTGTAGCAGTCCCTGGCAGCCCAGCCCTTCTAGCAGGGCTGGGAATGGGCCAGGGGAGGCGGGCATCTGTGGTAATGGCCAGAGCATCGCCCTGTTACTACAGCGTATTTCACTTTTAATTCTGACATATAATGTAATGATCTTTTTTAAGGCCCGATGATATTATCTGCCTGACTAGATTATTGAGTCTTCATCATCTCCAGATAAATTTACGGCCAGGACGAGGCTCAGGATTTATCATCAGTCAATAGAGCTCAATACTCTAACAAGGCGTGTAATAAGATATACATATTTAATGATCCAAGGGGAGGAGCACTAATGGGAACCCAGACTGAGTGGTCCAGGGGGCTGGGGCTCTACCGCAGGGCTGCCATGGCTATGGGGACATGGATGTATTTTTGGCCCTGTGGTTCCAAACTTCAATCTCTCTTAGGACTGAGTTTCTCCTTCCTGAGACCCTAAGGGCAGGCAGAGACAGAGAAAGCACCTGAGCACAAGGTATTCCCTAGCCCCCATCCCCACCCCCAGGGAATTCTTGTTTCCAGGCCCTAGAAGGGATAGGGTTGTTCTCAGACCTGCCTGTTCAGGTCCCTGAACATCAGAAAGGGGTCCACAAGGGAGGGGAGTGCTGGGGCTCCATGCCCAGGCCATGCTGATGGTGACGGATGGTTTTTCATTATAGCCTCTCAGGTCTTGCCCGCGCCCTGTGTGGAAATTCTATTTATTCCCTAATTTGTAAAAATTCCCTCTTTATCTGATCCCAATCAGGGCGGGGTAATTGGCTCTCTGGGGCAGCGGCTGGGGTCCTTGATGAAGAGCTATGTGGATGTACCCAGCCTGGCCCCCTCCCGTCCTGCCACCAGGGCCCACAATTAATAATGATTTGCAAATGGCAGACAAGCAATAACACAGAAAGATGTGGCATCCGTGCTGCCTCTTCATTTCCTCCCCTCACAGATATAAATGGCCACAGAACAAAAACCCAGCACTATAAATTCTGAAATTAGTTATTCACTGGGACAAATGGGGTCTGAAGCCTACAGTCCCTCTCTCTACCACCCCTGCCCTTGCTTTCCCTGACCCAGGCTCTGTTTCCAGGTCTTCTTCTTTAAATATAAACTCAGTTCCTTACCTTCCTCCCACCACTCTAGTGACCCCCTTGGAAGTGAGCACTTGGTCTATCTAGGCTTGCCACCTCCTCACTGGAGACTGCAGCCAGCAAGTGGGATCTAGCTCCATCTCCTCTCAAGGGCCTCTCTGGCTGCTTGACCTGGCTTCTATCCCCATTCTGCATTGGGTGTGAATGGAGTTGATGTGTCCTGCCAGGCTTGGGAGTCTGGATCAGAGCTGGTCAGATCAGAGTTGCCTTCTTTGGCATTTGGGATCAATCCAGTCCATTGGCTTGGCCAAGTCTGAGTTGGGCTCATAACAGCCAAATGCAGTGTAAGTGACTGAGAGGCTGAGGCTGTGCTTACTGGTCAGGCATCTCTAGGAGGTTGGCAAAGGCATTTCCGGGCACCATGCCCTCTCGGCCAGGCACATCCTCCCCCCACCCCCCAAGTGGCTGTGAGCTGGCGGGTAATGGGCGTGTAATGGCCTCATTTCCATGCCCGGCCTCCAGGAGCGGCGGTAAGTGTTTGATTGCCTTAATTTCCAAACACATCATTATCCTAGCTTTACCAGCGCTTAATAAACACTTTATGAGGATTTTTTTAAAAACATCTTCGGTCTGCATACTTCTCTGAAGTGATAAACTCTAATTAAGTCTAATATTTAAAAATATGGTAATGGTGAGTTGTTTGAATAAGTGGACTGCATTTCTGTAATTTCATTATTACGTAAAACACGCTAATTATTTGGAGCACGCTTATTACAGAGAGAGAAATCGCCTGCTAATCAAGATGAAATTGCCTTTTCCCCTTATTGTAGAACCACCGCCATCCTTCACCATCAGCCCTGTGGCACCTCAGGCACCTCTATGGGGTGGAGGGTGATACAGGGAGGGGCGGGAAGAAGGGGTCACTTTAGAGTTGAGGCCATAAGAACCCTGCTTGGGGAGGGTTAGAAGCTAGAAGAGTGCTGAGTGGGAGGAGAGGGAGTGTTTGTCTGGACAGAGTGTGGTCAAGGTGGCTATGAATGGGGGAGGGACATAGGAGACTGGATGGGCCCAGGCTGGTCCAAGGGACACAGAATGAGTGTCAGGATATTAATTTTAGAGTAATAACATTATAGGATATTAGAGTAACTGGTAACTAACATAGACAGTATTTTAAATACTTCACAGACAATTCATTTCATCTTTTAAATTATCCTTTAAAAGAAGTAGTTGCTGTAATCTTTCTTTCTATTTTAGAGGGAAAAACAAAAATACAGGAAAATTCAGGAACTTGGTTAGTTAGGTTCGGTTATTAAGTAGCTGGGTGCAGACTAAACTCAGAATCTGAGGTTCTCTGCTATTTAAATTCTAAATTCACTGGCTTGGGCTCCTTTGAGCCACCATATGATGCTGAGTACTGTATTGGCCCCACCAGAGTTGCCAAGCTGGATGAATAAAAATGTAGAGCAGCCGGGTAATGGTGGTGCACACCTTTATAATCCCAGCACTCAGGAGGCAGAGGCAGGTGGATCTCTGTGAGTTTGAGGCCAGCCTGATCTACAGAGTGAGTTCCAGACCAACTAGGACTACATAGAGACCTTGTCTCAAAGTACAGAGGAATAGTCAAATTTGAACTTGAGATAACAAGTAGTTTTCAGTGCATATCCCATTTGAGCTGGGACAGCATTTAGTCTGGCAGTCCTTTCAGACTGGCCCAGGAAACCCACAGCACTTTTGCTCAGGACATTATTGCTGCTGGGTAACCATAGATGGTTATTATTGCCAGTAATTATAGATGTGGGCACAAGATCAGCGAGATTCTAGAATATCAGTGCTCAGGGTTCTTGTGATCTCCTCATTCTCAGGCACAGGTCCTGCTCCTTGCAGGTTCTTTACCCTGCCTCCCCCTGCATCCCAGCTTTGTTGGCTTCTGCTCCATGGGCTCAGGCTCCATCCCTTACCAGTCCCTGGACAGATTACCAGACAGGGTGAAGGCAGGAAACTGAAGCTCCAGTGGTGGGCCTTGACATCTGTCTGCATGCTCCTTTAACCACATTACCTTTTAACCTCGCTAATAGAACCAGCAGTTTTCCACCCCTGATTCTCCAAGTTGACCTTTGGTCATTTTTGTTTTCCTTCTTTTGTCTTTCTTCTCTTCTTTCTCCTGTTCCTCTTCCTCTTTGAGACAGGGTCTCACTATGTAGCTCTAGCTCTCCCGGAACTCACTACATCCCCTTTGGTCATTTTATATTTGTTCTCTTTACTGGTTCCAACAGTACTGCACATATGATAAGAGTTGTTATTTCAGAAGGATACAGAAGGAGAGGGCAGTTTAGTCCATGATAAGCCAATGGGTTCTGCATCAGAAAAATAATAAAGTTAGAGCTATTTCTTATATACACAAAGTAATTCCAGACAGATTAAGTAGAAAAGATAGCTAAAGCAGAAGTGTGGTGCACACCTTTAATCCCAGCATTCAGAAGGTACAGGCAGACAGAGCTCTGAATAAAGGCCAGCCTGGTCTACATAGTGAGACAGACCCTGTAGAAAAAAATCCAAATTAATTGTCTGGAGAGATTGCTCCACTGTTAAAAGCCCTGGCTGTTCTTCCAGGGAACCTGGGTTCAGTCACCACCACACACAACTGTCTGTAATTTCAGTTCCAGGGGATCCAGCATCCTCTCTGGCCTCCACAAGCACTGTATATATGTGGTACACAGACAGACATGAAAACAAAATGCCCACACACTTAAAATAAAAACCTTAAAAAGTTTAATAATAATAATAATAAAATATAGCTGAAAAATGGGATACCTTTGTTTTGTGGGCTTCTGTGGGGGAGGTATATGGGGGAGGTATACACGTGTGAGCTTGATATTGGGTGTCTTTCAATCATTTACCTAATGATAGAGACAGAGTCTCTCACTAAACCCAAACTCTCCCAATTCAGCTAGATTGGCCGGCTAAGGACGCTCCCATCTCTGCCTCTCTACTGCTGGAATTGCGGGCTTTTACTAGCATGCCTGGCTGTTATGTGGATACCCAGGATTAAACTTTACCAACTGAGCCATCTCTTCAGCCCTTTGTTTTTTTTTAAAAAAAAAAAAAAAAACAATTGGGATAGAGAAGTCCTTCTCAAACCAAACACTAAGCCTTGAAATCCTAATGAAATGCCTTATAATTTTAGATGACTCAAAGAATCCTACTTAATTCATCCAAAGCTGAACTCATCACTGCCTCCAGATTCCAACTTCTCTGGGATTACTTCCCTGAGTGGCACTAAAATCCTATAATCACTCGTCTCCCCATCATCTCCTGAAAGCTTATCTTTTTTTTTTTTTTCAAAGAAAATGTTGTGTGTGCAAACATTTGTACACACAAAGGTGGAAGCGAGAGGACAATTTGTGGACGTCAGTTGTCTCCTTCCCCCGAGTCCCAGGCCTGCACTCAGGTGCTCAGGCCTGCACAGCAGGTGCTGTTCCACTGGCCCACATTTTTTATTTTGTTTTTATTTTATTCGGTTGATTGGTTTGTTTTTCCAAGACTGGGTTTCTCTGTATAGCCCTGCGTGTCCTGGAACTCTACCTGCAGACCAGGCTGACCTCAAAAGTGCTGAGATTAAAATTGTGCGCCACCACTATCCAGCTAAAAATTGTATTTAAAAAAACAAAACCTCTTGGCCTCTAGTCTCTTCTTTACACTGTCAACATACTCCTACCACAAGCCTAGTTCTGGTTGAGCCTTTCAGGTATGAGCTGTAATTCTGTCTGCTCTCAGATGGTTCTGCTTTTAGTCCTGTCTTCATATTTTAGGGTGACAATTGTGAAACCCAGATCAGGTCCTATCATTTTCCTAATCATTTTAAATGCGTTAGTGTCTCCATAGTGCTACCAGAGTGACATTCTTGAACTCCTTAGGTTGACATTTGGGGTCCTTGGGTTTCCTCTAGTCACTCACTGCTGACTTGACTACCCATTCATGTCACAGCCTTAGTATGTCACTCACCCCCATCACCTAGTGAAATTAAGGTTGACACTCCACAGATCACTTCCAGTGGTATCTTTACTGCCTCTTCACCTTAACCCTAACTTTCTGGGCTAGCTCCCTCTCACCTTTGCATACCTTTGTTCTTCTGGGAATCCATTCCCGAGCTTCTGTAAGCAGTTCCGTGCCTCCTTTTTTCATAGCACTGCACCTCTTATGGGCTATCTTTGAGCTCTGCAAGTACAGGGAGCTAATCTTGTATCCAGACCCAGTCCGGCCCATACACACCCAGCACACACAACAGGTTGGCAGTTGCTGGATGAAGTAAGAACATGGATGAAAACCTTTGTCGTACTATCCAAGGGCTTCCTGGATCCTTTCCTCAAGAAGGAACATAGGACACTGGTCTTCCCTGGCCAGTGTCCTATGGCTTCCTTCCTGTGCTCTACTCTTCAGTTTCCAGACTAGTGTAACCAACAGGCATTCCATGCCACCTCAGTTGGGTTCCTTGATGAGGGATCTCAGCCACCATTCCAGTAGCAGCTTCTTTGACAAGCAGCTCTGACCACTCTGAATGGAAGTACCTAACAAACTTAGCCTTCCTTGCTATATATAGGTGCTCACCTGACCCATCCCCTCTGTGGGTTTGCATAGATGTTACCCTTCCATTCTTGTCAATATAAAAAAAATTTTTTTAAATTTTATTTATTTGGGCGGTGGTGGCGCATGCCTTTGATCCCAGTACTTGGGAGGCAGAGGCAGGTGGATTTCTGAGTTTGAGGCCAACCTGGTCTACAGAGTGAGTTCCAGGACAGCCAGGGCTACACAGAGAAACCCAGTCTCGAAAAAAAAAAAAATTTTTTTTATTTATTTAATGTATGAGTGCTTCGCTGCATATACATCTGCCTGACTGAAGAGGATATCAGATCCTTCTATAGACGGTTGTGACCCACCATGTGGTTGCTGGGAATTGAACTCATAACCTCTAGAAGAGCAGCCAGTGCTCTTAACTGCTGAGCCATCTCCCCATCCCATAAAAATATTTCTAATACTAAGAATATTAATGTCTTTCAAAAGAAAAAGTTCTCAAGCTGATGAGGCTAGCCTTCTAGAATGTGAAGGTAAAGACCTATTTTAGAGGCCTCCATTGTGGACACAACACAGCACCCTATCATCCTGTGTCACAGCACCTTTAAGCTGGCCTAATTAGCTCTGCAAGAGATGATACAAAGGCAAAGATGCCAACTAGCCCAAATGGTCTCAGAGCTTCAGTCTGTCTTACCTTTACCCACACGGTGGAGGAGAGAAATGCCCACCATAAGTTGTTCTCTGAATACACACCTGTAATCATAGCTCTCAAAAAGTAAAAGCAGGACCAGACCCTACACAGGGCTGAGGGTCCTGGGGAATCCAGCACAGTGGTCAAGTGCTTATCTCATGTGTACACAGCCTGAGCTTGCATGGTTTCCTAGAACCATGCAAAGGAAAGGAGGAAAGTGCAGGATGAGCAAGATGGCTCAGTGGGTAATGTACCTGCCACCATGCCTTCTGACTTAAGTTTGATCTCTAGGACCCACTCAAAAGGAGAGAACCAACTCTCACAAGTTGTCCTATGACATGCACATACACAGTTAAAATACATGTATATGTGTGTAGACTTTAATCATTCTAGGGAACACCTTTAATCTGTTTCTGGCTGAGAGCCAGAAACAGATCTGAGTTCCAGGCTACCCAGGGCTACATAGTGCGCTCGCGCTCTCTCTCTCTCTCTCTCTCTCTCTCTCTCTCTCTCTCTCTCTCTCTCTTTTCTTTTTTAAAGCAGACTTTATATAAACAGAAGACCACTAAAGGAATTTAAAGAGGGAAGGACATGATAAGATTTGTGTAAAAAAGATCATACTGGCTACAAGAGGGTGGATCTGAGGGACAAACCAGACTGTTTCAATCTAAGAATTACCGAGTGTAGACTTATAGGTGACTGGGGCTACTGGAAAAAGGAAGCATTTGATTACCAGTGGTTCTCAGCCTTCTAATAATGCTGGACCCTTTAGTACTCTTCATGTTGTGACTCCGACCACAAAGTTATTTTTTATTGCTACTTTGTAATTTTGCTAAGCAGTGTATCAATTCCTAAAACCATCAGAAATACATGTTTTCCAATGGTCATGATCCACAGGTTAAGAACCACTGGATTACAGAATAAGGAAACCAGATCTACAGAGGTTTCAGACCTGGTTGATATGGCCAGTGTGCGTGAGGTGTTGACTTCTTGGGAGTTTCAAGTGATTTGCTGTACCATGTGCTGAAGTCAAGAATGCACAACAAGGAAGAGAAGGGGAAGAAAGAGAAAACCTGGGGACTGTTTGTGGTGGGACTGAAGAGAAAGATCCTGGATGGGGAGGTTAGCCATCAGGAACAGCCAGAGCTCATGATTTAGTTGGCATGTATGGCATGGGGAAAGGTCAGGACTGGCTGAGGTGTGCAGGCACCTCTTGGCACAGGTCAATTGGCACTGGTTCATTGATGGCCTAGGGGTCTAGACTAGGACATTTACTTGGTCCAAAGGAGGCAGATTGAGTGATTTGTCCAGCATTGAAGGAGGAGCCAGATGAAGTCAATAGAAAACTAATTTTCTTTTCTGCTAAAAGAAATGAGGTGTGTGGCCGCTGGGTAATTGCAGATAACGAGGGGACTTATTCTTAATATGCACAGTGGCCATGGTCTCCAGAGCGCTGAAGACAGGAAGGATTTGAGGTGCCCTGACAGGGCTAGGTTTATTTGGGAAAAATATCCCTCTGTCCCAGGTTCCCTCTTCTCTCAACAATGCCATCACAGCAGCACATCTGGCCCCACAACTCCTGTCCTATTCCTGTCAGCTGCTCAGCTCGTCCTGTCATACCCCTCCCTCTACCCCCACAGTACTGGCGCACTCACTAAGGGAGACAAATGACAGGGCCTCAGCTGAGCGGGGCTCGTGTCCGGCCCATAAACCACGGGGATGGGTCATGTCTGGAGTTGCCATGGCCGCCACTACCCACCCATCTGTCTTCTCCCCATTCTGCCTCAAAGCAGACCAGTCCTGACTTGTTTCCTGAGTCCCTGGAGAAACACGGTATCAACTCCTAACACCTCTGTCCACCATAGGTACATACATATTGAACCCTTCTAAGACAGGATCTCATATGATTGGCCTGCCTTAGATCTTTGGCTAATAAGACATTTTCTTTGCTCAGGTGGGGGCAGGGGTCCCCTTTCTTAGGCCACAGTCTTAGTGAGGGCAAGCATAGAAGCCCAATGGAAGGAAAGGATTCCAAGGCCTCCTGACCTCAACACCACCCCTCACTTGTTACGCCATCAATGTATGGTACTTCTGCATCACAGCATCTATGAGATGAGGCTGTGGCCCAGGGACAAGGAAGGGGGTGGGGAAAGGAGTAGGAGACAGTTGGGGACTGCTTTGGGAAGCTGAACCCAATGAGATGAGCAGTTTCTCTCAACCTTCCTAACACTGCCACCCTTTAATATAGTTCCTCATGTTGTGGTGATTCCCCTCACCCCCAGCCATAGTTATTTTCATTGCTACTTCATAACTATAATTTTGCTACCATCATGAATTATAAATATCTGATATGGAGGATATGATATGTGACCCCTGTGAAAGGGTTGTTTGACCCTAAATGGGTCTTGATCCACAGGCTTGAGACCTGCTGCCCCAGCAGGACAGGCTCCAAGTCGCCCCCCTTCTTACATCTAGTAGTAGAGCAAACCCTGTCCTTGAAAAGCCCCCAGGCTACAGCCTCCAGGTACAACAACAGCTCACAGCATGGAGGTTTTCCAGAGGCCAATACCAGAGAAACTAATAGGATCTAACACATAGAGACTATTTAACCTGATATTTGAGCAGAGACAAGGTCCCAAAAGGTGACCAGCTGCCAAGCCTACTCAGAGCCAGGTTATAGGTTGACTACTGCATCTGTCTGGTAGGCTGACAACATATAAACCATGGCCTTCCCTAGCCTGTCTGGAGCTACACGGGGACAGGTATCCAGGGCAGGTGTTTCCCAGGGTTCTGGCACAGCCATGCCAAGTCTTGTACCTTGTCACCAGTTGAGTATGGCCTGGGCCACAGTTCCCACACACATACAAGTGCCGACAAAGTCACCCTGGCTGTGGGTGTGATGAATGGCCGCACAGTAATGAAATGGAGACATCAAGGCGGGTGGCGGGAAGACGAAGTGTGGCGGACAGGCCGTCCCCATGTGGCGGCAACAAGAAGGATCGCCCAGCGGCCAGGGGCCGTCAAGGGAGAAATTACACATTTACTCTGCCTTTTTCTTACTGCGACGGCGCCCATACATCACTGCTGGGGCCGGGATGGGACACAGCGGCCAATTTCCAGCATGAATTATGGGGACTGAGAAGCATTGAGTCCAGGTTTCCAGTAGGCCCAGTATCACCCAGCCCAACCCAAGGCTAGAAATGTTACCACCAGAGCCAGAGATGTCCTCCTCAGGCCTATGGCTCCTGAATCTAGCCCCTGTCTGAATGTCTTCTCTTTTTTCTAGATGATTGCAAGAACATTGCCAACATCATGAAGACATTGGCATACCGAGGCTTCATCTTCAAGCAGACATCAAAGCCCTTCTGATTGGCAGAGGATGGGATGGGGCAGGACAGGGTAGCTGCTTGGCCCAAACCAGAACCCTCCTCTCCCTCACCAGAGGGAAAAGGGAGAGTGGCACAGCTCTGCGCCCAGAGTGTCCCCCAGCTGCCCTATGGGCTTGTGCCCTGTGTGAGGGCTTGGCCACTTGGCCCCTCTGGAGCAGACACTTTGTGCCCCACCCTACTCCCACTCCTCAGTCTCAGCCCAGTATTAGCCCCTACCATTATGGGCCTGGGCTAGGGGGAACCCAGGTACTCACTGCCTTCTCCCTGGTACACAGGCTTCTGCTGGGGCCACCAAGCCCCCCCTGTGCCCCTCCCATCCATAGTGCATGGTGTGTGGTGCCCCCAGGGCTCCAGGACAGATCAGGCCCCACCTTGTATCCACCCCACCCCACCCCTGCTGTGAACGTGCCACTTGAATAAAGTCGGGGAAACAAGGTCCTGGTGTATATGGAGCCATCCTTGTGTGTAAGGCTGTTGTTATGCCGATGCTCCAGGCTTCATCTCCATACAAAGCCAGCAGCAAGTAAGCAGCTAGCACTATGGCACCTTTGATGCCTTCACTAAACTTACACAAACTGAGGGCAGGGCTGGGGTGGGGAGTGGGAAATATCTGAACCACAAGGACTTGCCAAAACTGCTGAGAACCCAGCCATGTGCAAGACTATCTTAAATATAAAGCCACAGGTGTTTGAGGGGCAGAGTCTACAACAAGAGCAACAAAAGGTGGGCTAAAGGCCTGAATGTGGGCATTGCAAGCAAGCCTTTAGAGACTTGCTGTAGTGATCGATTGATATATCAGACTGTCATTCCAGCCAAGGACAGGAGGAGGTAAGGAAATAGAATCAGCCCAGTCCAACTTAACAGTTCTATTTACACCATACCACCAACTCTGATGGCCCCTTATGGTTTCTTGGCTTTCTTCACAGAAGATGAGCTGGAGGCTGATTCCCGTCGTTTCCGCTAAAGAGACAGAAAGTGTTGAGGTCAGTGGTCTCTGAGGTCAGACTCAAGGCTTAGTGTCTGTCATTTTTCAGAGAAGAGGCCCAATAGTCAACCCACTCCTGTCATCAGCCTCACTCCTCACAATGGCAGCCATTCCCTTGAAGGCATTGGAGGGAGTAGGGTCTGTAAACAATGTGTTCTCTTGCAGAGCCAGGGCATGCTCCCCACAAACCTATCCAGGCTCTTACCGAATTGGGTGTGAGGGGTGCACCCACAACATCAATGATGGTGTCCTTGGTAGGGTCAAGACCAAGTCCAGATTCAGACACTGTTGGCTCAGTAGAAGCCGGGGTTGGTCCTAGTGCTGGTGTGGCAGGGCCCCCCAGCACTCCTGCCCGAGCCAGGGCCTCGTGCCGGTGCCGCAGCATCTGGAGCTCATATTCACAGTTGGCACAGGCCTGCTTGAGCTCGTAGAGTAACACCAGGTCACTCCGCAGCTCATTGAACATATGCACCAGCTCCTCTGTGGGGGTCGGGCTCAGCTCTGCAAGCAAGACAAAGCCGGACTGTGGTTGAATGCCTGAAACATGAACTACCATCCCTTGCATCCCATGGGGCTCAGCAACACTCACCCACACCAAGTTCCAGCAGCATCTGTTCCAGCGCCTTGATCTTCTTCTGACCCACAGAGCTGGGCAGCTTCATCTGCAATGATCAAGTTAGCTAAGTCCTCCACCTCTTGGAATGAGGCACATAAGTAGTAACCCATGGATGTAGCTGTAGCTAAAATGGAACTAGCTGAGAAGTGGAGAATGGTAAAGGCAGACTAGGCTTGAGCATGTCATGAAGTCCTGACAAGGCCACCTCTTTCCATAACCCCCTCTCGCATTGCTCTAGACTTAGCAGCTATAGCATTAGGCCATTTGGAGCCAAGGGCCGAAACACTGCATTAGGTAACTCACCCGCTGACTCCGTAGTGTGACACCCGCTGACTTAAAATCTGGAAACTTGATGCCCGCAGTCTCAGGAACAGCCTGGAGGAAGAGTTAAAGAGCCTTAGGTGTCACAGGGAGTGGCCCAGGGTCCTACTAACTAACTCAGGGTACTCTCAGAATGCCCACTGAAGCTGGGGACCCTGTGCCAGATGACCCCTCCACCCTGAGCTTGCTGGGTCAGCCTCCACACCGGCTTCTCTGCCTCCTTCTTCTGGGGTAGCTTCTTCTTGGGAGCCTTGCGTTCTGTGCGCCGCTGCTCCGCGGTGGTGTCTGCTGCTGTAATCAGCTTCTGCAGGTCTTGGCTGCGCTTCTCTCGCTCTTTTTTCCGGGCCTCAATCTTACGCAGCTCCTGTAGCAGGTACTCCTCCTCTGCCACCTGGAAAACAAGAAATGCTTCAGCATGTATGAGGACTGTGTGGAAGCAGGGTGGCCAGGGAGCTAAGGGGATACTAGGGTATCTATGAGGGACCAGAAGTAAGGAGACTGCAGAGACGGGAGGATCGGGACTGGAGGTGGAGGGACCTGGGGATGAGAGAGCTGAGCCATAGAGGGTAGAAAGCAAAAGGTTTCAGGTACGGAGAAGAGGTTATGACCTGCTCTGGGGTTCGATTGTAAAGCCGCTCCAGCTGCTCCTTCCGCCGTCTCTCATGCCCAGCATCAAATACTGGTATTTTGAGATCTGTGCCTGGCACAGCCCTCACATTGGCAAGCTTGGCACAAATGTGGTAGTACCTCTCTTTCAGGTCCTCCACAGAACGCTTCTGAGGATCAAGACACATGGAAAGGAGCACTGAGGGGCATGAGGAAGAAATGGCAGAAGGATTAGGTGCTCACCCAAATGCATACCAGCTCACCTTGAACTGCTGATGGTCATAGCGATCGTGAATAACTACGAAGCGCAGATCAAATCGGCGGCTGAGGTCAAAGAGGTGGTCAGTCTCCGCCTTAGTCCATGCATCATCATGAAGGTAGAGTTGGTACTCCTGCTCTGAGTACACAGGCACCTGCACCGTCTACTGGCACAAAGACATGGGGACTGCATTCCTTTGAATATGTCCAAGCCAGCTGGCCATGTTACCACAACCCTTCTTGTTTATTACCAACCCCTGTACCCTTACAGGGACAGCCTGTAGGAAGGAAAGACCCAGTCTGATTAGCTAGAGGCCTCTCCCTATAAGGCTCTGGGTCAGTGGCCTGCCTGACTCACTTCAGGACAACTTACCATCTATTGGAATGGGCCACATACTCCTATCTGATTTGTAAGCACTTATAGGCACCCAAGGGTCAATTCTAGAGTCACAAACCCATCAGACAGAGAAAGGCCCAGAGCCTTGTCTGATGCACTACTGCCACCCAGTGGTGACAGTGGGACTTGCTGATCGTAGTACTTCAAAGTTGGGCATCACCAGGGAATCTTACTGCCTCTGCCCCTTCCTCTCCCGGCCCACATTCTTTCTGCCCCAGGTGCTGTTTCAGAGTTACCAGCCTCACCACAATTGGGTCACAGGTCAGAGACATAAGTAGGAGTTGGTGCTGGGCTAGAACATGAAGTTTCTCATGAATTAAAAAACACAACAGGCAGCCGGGCAGTGGTGGCGCACGCCTTTAATCCCAGCACTTGGGAGGCAGAGGCAGGCGATTTTTGAGTTCGAGAGTTCGAGGCCAGCCTGCTCTACAGGACAGCCAGGGCTACACAGAGAAACCCTGTCTCGAAAAACCAAAGGAAAAAAAAAATGGCTCTTTCCAGCTGCCTCTTGGACACTTCCTACCAGATGTCACACATTCCCAACCTTAACATGCTCAATACTGCATTCATCCCTCTTCTTCAAACGTCCCCAATCCATACCTCAACCACTGTCACCAAAGCCAGCATCAGAAGCCTGTTTCTAATGATGGCCTATGTTTCTGTTTTGTTGTTGACACAGGCTTAGTAAGTGGCCTTGGCTGGTCAGAACTCTGTGGTGACCAGACTGGCTCTAACTCCCAGCAGTCTTCCTGACTCAGTCTCCCAAGCACTGGGATTATAAGCACACACCACCACACCTGGCATTGTGAAGTATCTTTTAACTGCTACTCTTTACTTAATCTGGGCTTTACTTCCAGAATCCCCATCTATCTCAATGGCCACAACCCATTCGGAGTAGCACAACATATCCTGGTGTACTTAGGCCACCTTTCATCCTGTTCCAATCAGTTCTCTATCTGCAAACAAGATCGACACCATGCTACTTACAAGGCAGACCTACAATAAGAATGGAAATAAAGAAGCACTTCTATATGTCACAACTCTGTGCCCATTCATGTAATATAAATGTGAACTTGTGTTCTCTTAAAATCCTAACATCTTTTTCATTCTCTGCTGAACTACAAACAGAAGATCATGTGCCTGTTCCTAGGAAAGGTGCTGTTCCAGACCAACCTCTAAGATAAAGTGCCTTCTAGATGATTCATAAACTCAAGAGCAAGGCCTGGCCAGTTCTGTCCCTTGACTTTATTTATCTTTTAATTTTTTTTGGTTTTTCGAGACAGGGTTTCTCTGTGTAGCCCTGGCTGTCCTGGAACTCACTCTGTAGACCAGGCTGGCCTCGAACTCAGAAATCCGCCTGTCTCTGCCTCCCAAGTGCTGGGATTAAAGGCGTGCGCCACCACTGCCCCGCTCCTTGACTTTATTCTTAATTCCATATTCCTTCTACCAACAGAACATTCTCATCCTTTTTTCCTCTCAGGTATCATCTCTAGAAAATCTCTCTAGTTTCCCAGACTTAGCTGCATATACCTCCTAGTAATTTAAGGGGGGGGGGAGAGAGAGAGCGTGTGTGTGTGTGTGTGTGTGTGTGTGTGTGTGTGTGTGTGTGTGTGTGT